TTTAATATTTAAAAAAAAATTCACCTGTAAAAATGTTAAAAATAATTACAAGCCACTAATCCCAGGTGTTGTGATTGCCAGCAGTTATGCCTCCACTGGAGATCACGTCCATATACAGCCAAACTACAACTCCCATCATGCACCTCACACACCAGTTCCAAATTAACAAATTGCACGCACATACACAGCAAAGCTCATTGTACTGATAACTGTATATAAAACTCACGAACACTCATCCAGTGTTGAGTCTTGTTTTTCCTGTGAACATTACAAAGTGTTTTCTCTGTCCTGCCATGTTCAGCCTGCATCAATCTTTTCGCCTGTTACAATGACTACTCTTTTGGATAGCCATCATGCTTCTGTTTGTACCTGTTTGACCATTATCTGCCTGATTATTCTTTATTAATAAACTGCACATGGATGCACACCTCCCTTGCCAAACCCATATCAATACACTGGGTAATTGTAATGCACTAATGCTACTTACTACAGGTAATGGGCTCATCAGATCCATCATTACAGTCTGTTCCTCCATCACAGTACCAGTGGCCAGGAATACAGCGTCCACTCGAGCAGCGGAACTCATTGTGGGAGCATGTAGATGTGGCTGAGGAGTGATGGACAAAATGACAGTCAGAGATTAAGCATCTAAACCAGGGGTGCTCAAACTTTTTCATATAAAGGGCCAAACACCAAATATCATTATGAGCCAAGCGCCGAAGGTAAATATACCAAACTGTATTATATTAAAGTTGCCATGGATAATTTCCTAACTTGTTAAGACTCACCGCAGTGTGTGGGACTCTCGTCACTGTTGTCTCCGCAGTCATTATCTCCATCACATAGATACGAGCGCGGGATGCAGATATTAGTCGACTGGCATTTGGTGTGTTCTGGCTGGCAAGTCCTCTCAGCTGGGAAATCAAATCCATAATAGATTGTTTGAAATCAAATTAGGAAACGTCAAACTATTCCATGTCACATACCTATGCGGGTAAATAAACAACATGATTGGCTTCCACAGAGCTAGGTTATCCTCGTCCTACCTTGCTCTAAATAGTGGAGTATTGCAATTGCAAACCGGCTCACAATGATTTTATTGCTTATTAAATACAATCAATAAAACAGAAAAGTAAAGCCTGATTTCTTCTACTTTCTGACTCTCTGAATGACTTTGAAATTTTAAAACAGCACTGTTTTTGTCAACTAGCAGCTTCAAAAATGAAGAATTAAACTATCTTTAATAAAGGGACCAGTGATTGCTACTTCACTTCCTTCTGGAGTGTTTATAACATATTTTATTAATTTACCAAACAGACTAAAGATTCTATAAAAAGATTCTAGGTTGAGTTTTTTTGTATTTTTTTTTTTTGTAAAGAAATTCTAAAAGTAAAAACCCTGCAATGAAAGACTAAATTAGCCAAAAGTGAAAATGCACTTCTTATTAATAAAATATTCATTCTGAACTCATTAAAAACTCAAGAAATCAAGAAAAAAAAAATTAACATTAATGCAAAGAATGATTCATGAATAATAAAATCAATAAGCAAATAATATAAAGTAAATATGAAAAATATTCATATAAAAAAATGAGAAAAGGGAAGCAACAAATACTGGGTTAATGTTGATACCCAAACACACATTTATTATTATTTCCTTCAGTTTCCTTCCCTGTTCCTTACATTTGAGATGAGGGTTCAGAGCTTATATTAAACTATGAATAATTCAATTAGGAAATAGCTTTCTCAATGAAAGACATGTCTATGGGGTTAAGGAAATCCTCAAAGTGATACTTCCACCGTCCGACAACATCCCCAGTCGATGTAAACAGCTCCCCACTTTCACAGCAGAATAGCTTTCATTGAGGAAGCAGAGACTGGTGCAGGGGTGGACTCACCCATCACCCAAGCGGAGGTCACTGATGTAATTTACAAGCTCCGCAGTGGCAAAGCAGCGGGGGTGGACGAGATTCACCTTGTGTATCTTAGGTTACTGGATATTTTGGGGCTGTCTTGGCTGACACGTCTCTACAAAGTCGCATGGAGATTGGGGACAGTACCCCTGGAATGGGCAACTGTGGTGGTGGTTCCAATTTTTAAGAAAGGTGACCAGAGGATGTGCTCCAACTATAGGGCGATCACACTCCTCAGCCTCCCAGGGAAAGTCTATGCCAGGGTACTGGAGAGGAGGATCTGGCCGATGGTTGAACCTAGGATCCAGGAGGAACAATGCGGTTTTCGTCTGGGCTGTGGCACACTGGACCAGCTCTATACCCTTACCAGGGCGCTCGAGGGTTCATGGGAGTATGCCCAACCAGTCCACATGTGTTTTGTGGACTTGGAGAAGACATTCATCTGTCCCTCATGGTATTCTTTTTTTAAGGGCCGTCTCGTCCCTGTATGAACAGAGTAGGAGTTTGCTTCACATTGCCGGCAATAAGTCAGACTTGTTCCCAGTGCATGTTGGACTCCGGCAGGGCTGTCCTTTGTTCCCAATTCTGTTCAGAATTTTTATGGACAGAATTTCAAAGCGAAGCCTTGGGCTGGAGGTTCGGGGACCCAAGGTTCGGGGACCACAGGATTTAATCTCTGTTATTCGCAGACAATATCGTTCTGTTGGCTTCATCGAACATGGACCTTTAGCATGCACTGGGATGGTTTGTTGCAGAGTGTGACGTGGCTGGGATGACAATCAACACCTCCAAGTCTGAGGCCATGGTGCTCCACCGGAAAAAAGTAGTTTGCTATCGCCAGGTTTGAGAAAAGTCCTTATCCCAGGTGGAGGAGTTCAAGTATCTTGGGGTTTTGTTTATGAGTGAGGGAAGGATGCAGCGTGAGATTGAAAGGCCAATCGTTGCAGCAGTAATGCGGTCAATGTACCGTCCCGCTGTGGTAAAGAAGGAACTGAGCATAAAGGCAAAGCTCTTGATTTACCGGTCAATCTATGTTCCTACTCTCATCTATGGTCATGAGCTTTGGGTCATGATCGAAAGGACAAGACAAGATCTCGGATGCAAGCGGCCGAAATGAGTTTCATTCGCAGGGTGGCAGGGTGCACCCTTATAGATAGGGTAAGGAGCTCTGTCATCCAGGAGGAGCTCAGAGTAGAGCCGCTGCTTCTCCACATCAAGAGAAGTCAGCTGAGGTGGCTTGAGCATCTGTTTCGGATGCCTCTTGGATGCCTACCTAGGGAGGTGTTCCAGGCATGTCCCACCAGGGGGAGGCCTTGGGGAAGACCCAGAACACGCTGGAGCGACTATGTCTCTCAGCTGGCCTGGAAACGCCTCGAGATCCCCCTGGAGGAGCAGGAGAAAGTGTCTGGGGAGAGGTCTGAAGTCTGGAGTTCTCTCCTCAGACCCGGCCCCGATAAGCGGTAGAAAATGACATGACATAACTTTTAAAAACATTTAACAGGAAAAATATTACCAGTGGGCAAAATATGACAGTGAAAGACGCTTCAATGGTGCATTTCAGTGAAATGTGTATTACACTAAAAATGGGTCTGTAAAACCAGAAATTTTTTTTAGATTTCCTATAACTAGACAATGTTCACTAATCTGTAATTGTCTATTTTCAATAAATGTGCTACTAGATTGTCTTTAACATCATCATTAGCATTTAAAAGCGATGCTAAAAATGATTTTGTGCTTGTCTCTTCTCAGTTTTTCTGCGTTTGAAGAAGAACGTTAACTTCGTAAAATTTTCTTGGTCCAATATCTAAAATAAATCAGGTATAAGGCCATGGCTGTGTCCATGCACGGGCTCGCGTTCGACCAGTCGGTCTTGCAGGGTACCTTGGAAGAACAAACTCGAACAGCGAGAACAGAACACATATGAGAAGTGAGATACTGCGAGCTTCCTGTTGATTACATGACTTTTAGACAAAAGCAATTTCATCTTTAAAAAAGTTATGTTTTTTTTATTTTCAGTGAAAATTTATGAATATTTAAAACACAAAAGCAGTCAATGAAGATAATTTGTAAAATGCAAATAAAAATTATTTCAGCAAGGAAGTGGCTCGCACCACTAGTGGGTTGTAGGGACCCCTAGTGGCGGTGGAGCCCTAAAGCCGCCTTTCTACTGCACATGACATTTGGACATGACTGTCGGAATACACTTTTTTGTGGCAGTCGCACAGAATTTTCAAGTCTGACTTGCACCATGGGAGAGAAGCTGTTCTCGCAGTGTCCAAAATAAAGGAGTGAAAAGCAATTCTCAGTGGTTGAATGAATAAATGAATGAACACTAGAAACTCAGACTGCTAAAAATATTGGAGGGAATGTGGAGACAACATAAAACATTATATTTTTATTATTTTATTACTTACATTTTTGAATAGAAATGTATTTTTTAATATAGACTTTTTCTGATAAAAAAAACTAAATAAATAAACTCCTATTTCTCATCTCGCGCACACGGACCTGCTTGGACAAAACTGGAATACAGTCGGCCGGTCGCATGCGGTCTTGTCGCAGGAGTTCAAATATTTCAATGGATCCGCAGCTCAATTCGGATCCGAATTTTCCACATACGGAGATGATCGGCACTCCACGCAGCTCCCGGACTACTCTCCATTGGAAATGAATGACTTCCAATCTGTCGCTTGTCATTTGTAGTGGAAAGGAGGCTTAAGCCTTAGTTTGCCTATAAGGAGGGCCGGCTATGCGTATCGGTGACATATGGAATACTGTTTCCGGGTCCAAGCCGCTACTCATTGGAATTGAAAAAATATTGGTTTGAGACCACTTTTTAGTCTTATCACACATTAAAGTGAATTTTATATAAAATCGTAGCGTACACATCAGTCTCTGGACTCTGCATCACAAATACCAAAATTTTAGAAACTTATGAAAAAAATTATCACTTTCTGGCCATGATATTAGGCATGGACATATTGCAATCATGATGTTTGAAATTAATACAGCGCTTTGTAGGCGTTTATTATTACCATTTGATGACTCCCCATGCAGTTTCATATAGCGATTGGACCACTTAGCATGGAGTCACACTTAACAAGTGGATAGCTATAAATGAACTAAACTGAGCTTTGCAATACACTGACATAACAATGAATGGACATTTACAATACAATATAAAGCTCTTATATTAAAAGGGTGACTTGTTTTTTGTAACTGAGCGACTTACGGCAGTTCTGTTCATCCGAGGTCCCATTATCGTAGCAATTGTTTATTCCATTGCAGATGTATTCCCTGGCAATGCAGCGGCCATTATTACAGGAGAACTCTGTATTTGGGTCGCAGGGTCTGAAGATGCAGCCAGTCTCATCGCTGTTATCCCCGCAGTCATTGTAGTGATCGCATCGGTAATGATACGGCACACAGCGACCATTTCCACAGGTGAACACTGTGGGCTCGCAGGTGTGAAATGCTGTCATGTGGAAATAATGTTAATAAAAAACATAATCAATGATTGCATGTGTTGAAAATATTGCATGAGCTACTGCATCTCACTGTGTAGCTCCTCTATTTTAGTTTACCTGAGAGAGAAATAAAGGCTGCTGCTTGTCGGACTGCATGCAACAGAGAGAAAGAGAGACAGAGCCGTGCATTGTGGAAGAGGTTAGTATGTGTATTAGGCTGGTTAAATATCCAAGATCTAGTCTAGAGCCAACATAGGCTCATTCTGAAAATGTTGCCCTATATACATTTATGGAGACCACGAATTTTGTAGCCAGAAGAACGTATGGCTGTATTTCATCTTTAAAAGAAACGATACGGGGCGGTATGACGCCATTCCTTTTCGCTCTTACCAGCTGACAAGTTACCTCCATATGGGCAGCTTTCACGCTATTACCAGTTTGTCCAGTAGCTCGCTATGTATGTTGGCGGACTTGAGACACAGAGAGGAGTTGACCCCAACGACGGGGTTCGAGCCCAGCAAACAAACAGTTTTAGAAAGCGGGTAAGACTAAAAAAAAGAAGCCAAAACATAAATTAGGCAAGTAAATAACAGGGTGAGAATGTGGTCAAATCTGAAAAAGTGGTAAAAATCAGGCGAGGGCTTTTATTTTTCTGGATTGCTTCTTAAAACTGTCGGTTGGGTTAAGGGAAGTGGGTGGGTGCTGGTCAGTCGGTGCTTTTGAAAACACTATTGGTTGGGTTTAGGGAAGGAAGAGGGTGGGTCAGTCGATCGGTCAGTCAGTTGACAGTGGGATTATGTGAGAACAGCAGGTATGAATGGCACTCGCAAGAGAAATTTGAGATCTCAATAACCGCACACAGCACCCTTTGGTGGATTTGCGAAAACAAAAATTGCAGAAATAACGTACCTCCTGATACGTATTTGGCACTCTCCAGAAATGTACATAGCGTTTTCAAAATGAGCCTGGGTTGTCTAGAGCTCTGTTATACATCATAGTAAGCTGCCTTAGTGTCTTTTGACTGCTGAAATCTGATTTCAAATAAATAATTCTTTAAATAAACAGCACGAAACGACATATAAACCTAGATTTAACCCAAGTGTGTTTTTATTTCACTTTTATCAGTTTTTTTTTTCTTAGTACTGAAATATAATTATATTAGAAACACTTTGATTGAATTTAGCATGTATCATTTTAATTCATTCATTTTCTTTTGGCTTGGACCCCTTAATCATCAGGGGTCACCACAGCGGAATGAACCGCCAACTTATCCAGCTTATATTTTACCAAAGTCCCTTTAAGCCAGTCATTTCACTCTATTGGCTATTTTTGAAACTCCTCTCAGGCAGTATGCATATTGACCGCTACACTTTTCCCCATTCAAAACTATAGGAGTGACATGTCTTGTGTATTCTATAGTCTTTGGTTTCACACAGAGTTTTACGCGGCTGCCTTTCCAGCTGCAACCCAGTACTGGGAAACGTATCATTTTTTAAAGCAGTATTAAAATAGTCACAGTCACAAAAAAATTTTATTAAGCAGTTTTGTTTTGCTTTCCAGTGCAGTACACTGACATATAATGTGCAATGTAAGAGTTTCAGCATAAAGCGCTTGTTTATAATTTGTTTTTCAGAAAACAATGATCTTTTTTTTGTTTATTAATATAGCTTATATAAATTAGCTTGAGCAACACAGTGGCGCAGTGAATAGCACCATCGCCTCACAGTAAGAAGATCGCTAGTTCTGACTGGGCCAGTAGGCATTTTTGTGTGGACTTCCTGTGTTCACGTGGTTTTCCTCCAGGTGCTCCGGTTTCCTCCACAGTTCAACCACATGTGCTATAGGTAAATTAAATCAACTAAATTGGCCGTAGTGTATGTGTGTAAATGAGTGTGTATGGATGTTTCCCAGTATTAGGTTGCAGCTAAAAAGAACATCCGCTGCACAAAACATATGCTGTATACGTTAGCAGTTCATTCCACTGTGGCGACCCCTGATGATTAAAGGGACTAAGCCAAAAGAAAATAAATTAATATAATTTAGCTTTTCAAATTCATTAATTTCAATAAATGTACTGAATGAATATGCCAAAATAAAATAGTTCAAAAAGCAGCATAATCATGGCAGCGCACTAGATTTTGGAACAGAGCTTTGGTCTACAAATGAAGAGGTAAACAAAAATACAAACCAAAAACAAAATGATGTTTGGATCCTGGGGCAAAAATGTAAAAGAGCAGATTGTGCAAGCAAGAAAAAGCAAGAAGAAACATGTTAGTGAAAGATTGCACCGCAGCACAAGAGGGAAATTTATTAATTGGTAAATAAAGATAGTATTCAAATAGTATTAGAATGACTTATAATAAGAAAGAAAGGCATATAATAAATTTCTTTCATCCTTTACTCTTGCTTTGTTCAATTTTTTTTTGGTTCAGTTAAACACAATATAAGTATTTTGAAGAATGTTGGTTTTGTTAACCATACCGTATTTTAAACATGTAATCATTGACTGTTAATTGTTTAATATGCAAGTTTTTGAGTCTTCTGAAGCAGTGTTTATTAACCACGTTCCTGCAGGACCACCAGCTCTGCATATTTTCTAGGTCTCCAAACACACCTGATTCAGATCATCAGCTCATTAGCAGAGACTAAAAGAACTGAAATGGGTGTGACAGACAAAGGAGACATTCAAAACATGCAGTGTTGGTGGGCCTCCAGGAACGTGGTTGAGAAACACTTTTCTAAAGCATAAAAGTACCATAATATGTTTGAAGATATTTAAGAAACATGCTAAGTGAATATTCTTTTTTTATCTGAAAAACTATGCTAAAGTCAGATATTCTGCTTTGAAAATGTTTTTTCCGTGCCGGAATGGCTGTCTGTGTTTAGGTTATTTTAACCCGCCCATTGCTAATTTAGCCAATTATATTTCAGCACCCTGGGTTGCCTTGTTGGAAAACCACAAATTTCATTCATTGAAATCTCATTCATTCAGTCAGAAAGACTCTTAAAGTGTGCAACTGTGACCACAATGCAACCTCCGACGGACAGTAACAAACTCTGAAATGAGAAGCAGATTCAGAGTTCCACATGAGGATATTAATTAGCAAAAAATATAAATATTACGAGCATAAACATTAGGTGAGCAGGTTACATTGTAACCCCATGTCCTAACAACACACTATGCGAGGAGATTTGCAGTGATAAGCAATTTGGCTGTTTGCACCAGACGAAACACGACAGAAACTTAAATACAGCCATTCAAAAGCACAGAATAGTGCACTCACTGCACTCCAACAAAATGGTGAGGTTTATCATCGAAATCATATTAAACCTCTTTAAGATTATTAAATCTAGATGCTGAATCACTGATATGTGATGGTTTGCATTACTTTAGAGATCTAAAATATTAAATGGTTTATTTTATTGTCCAGATCTGAGATGAACTATCTGCTGCTGCTTTCAGTAGTATGGCAATAAATATCATGTAAAAGGGCATTTAAACTCACAGTGTTAGCATTTAACACCGGATAAAGCACATGAGGTCTATCTGAGGTGATCGTCTCTTCAACTTTTTGTTGTTCAGCTGCAAGAAATAGAAGTTGTTTCTAAAATATAAATCCCAGGTATTTGTTAGGACAAAAAGTTGTTGCATTTAATTAGAACAGGATTTAAATCAGCCTTAAATCAGCGTTTAGGCTCAATAGTCAGGCACACTCAATCTGGCAACCAGGGGTCCGTTCTTCGTACCTCGCTTAAATGATCTAAGATTATTTGGCAGATCCTGGATCTTTTAATCTTGATAACTGATCTCTCGCTAATTTGGTTCTTCAAACAAGTTCGCGAATTATATTAGAATGTCTGGATGAACTGATCTGAGATCGCTGCTTGTGTTGTGAAGGACAGATCTATCGATCCTCGAAATCATGATCAGCAATGCAATGATTGGCTGACGGCACAGCAGCGTAATGACATCATCTGATTAATATTCAATTATCCATGTGAGCAAAATTACATCAAATTAGCAGTAAACGGCTTGTTAAATATGAAACGCAATAACCTTCCACATTTGTTGTGAGCTGCAAGCTTTACACTTTCATGTGTCAAGAGTATTCATCATGCATTTCAATGCAAATCAATGTATTTAGTTCTACATTTAGAAAAGATTTTCTTTATAGTAGCAGCTGTTTTTTAATCTGTGTAAAGAATAACTGGTTGTTTACAAAAGCATTTTCATATTGGTAAAGGTGCCTGCAACTTTTGTGAAGCATCAAATCACTGGTATATTAACTATCAAAACATGTTTATGACTGCATAAATATATTATTGCTTTAAAAAAAGTCACATATTGTGCATTTCTATTATACACAATTTGTACTAAAGCGATCTAAAAAGTTCATATCAATAAGTTTTCTCTTTGCACCACCAGATGGCAGTCTTTGTACTTTCATTTCGAGGGTGCAGATTGCAAACGTTTTATTAATATGTATAACTTTATGTATTTTATTAATGACTTTAACTTTATATATATAGTTTAAAAATATGTACCATTATCCCAAGTGTATATAACTACTACTGTAAGAAAATATCAGAATTCGGAACATACTTTCTGTATTATCTTTGCTTGAACTGACCTGATCTAATCCTGTTTATATGAATTGAACCTGCTCCCGATCAGGTTTGACCTAGCAGAACTGTTGCCATGACAACAACTCTCGGATCAGCTTTGAAGAACGAAACGATCCTGGATCGTGTCAAATCGTCAGTATCCAAATCCAGCTAACTGAGTAATCCACGTACGAAGAACGGACCCCTGCACTTTCTTGTGTTTTGATCCAGGTGTGCAATACCTACTTCATCCACTGGGTGTCAAACTTACATACTGCACCTTTAAAACCATCGACTTCCATAGTGTTTGTTTTTCCTACTAGGAACGTGAATGGTTATACAGTAGGTTTCCAACATTCTTCAAAATATCATGCTATATCTAGTCTTACATCTAGTTATATCAAAAATACAAGTTTGGATAAAGCCAAGGGTGAGATTTTTTTTTTGTATTTTTGAGTGAACTGTCCTTTTAAATGGATAATTCAGTCAAAAAAATATGTTAATTTGTTTCAAGTTAAGCACAACCGATGTGATTGTCAGCATTCCACTTGAAGATTAGTCATGCACAACTATCAGCGTTGAGTTTAGTTCACCCTTGAAAGTTTTAGGCAAATTCCTGTTGATGTGAGAAATGCCATCTCATACTGTATATTTGAAACACCATATATAAATTCATAATAAAAGTGCTCTCTATTCAGGAGGATTTGAAATTCTGTGTCAAAGCTGACAGCATGTACTGTAAGCAACACGTCTTACCGCAGACCCTTTCCAGTTCATCACTGCCATCTCCACAGTCATCATCATTGTCGCATTTCCACTGTGAGCGGATACAGCGGCCATTCATGCAAGTAAACTGCCCGGGCTGGCAGCGCGTGCCATTGTCAGGAATACAGTGTTTGTTGTCGGCCAGATACCAGCGGCCCTCTGAAGGACACTGACACTCTGCTCCCTGAGGACCTGGAGGAAATAAAGGAAGTATTTCATTCAATTTAATTGTGAGTGATGTCAAAAGCCTTAGTTTAAAATGCATTAGACTTTTAAAAACATCTGTTGCAAAACCTGACAAGCTGTCAATGCTGTTTATTTTCATTAAAGTTTTATTAATATTTTTGGTTATTAGTGTTAGTGTTTTCGTATTTTTTAGAATTTTATTGAAAAAAAAAAAAAAAAAAAAAAAAAAATATATATATATATATATTTATCTATTTATTTATTTATTTATATTTAGTTTAGGGATAGTTCAACCAAAAAAATGAAAATGTTATTATACATGTTTCTTTCTTCTTTTGACCACATTAAATATACAGTATTGAAGAAAGCTGGAAACCAGTAACCGCTGACATCTTTTTGGGTGAATTATGTCTAAACTAAAATTACAAACTTTAAAATAAAAAATATCTTTAATAGTTTTATTAATATTTCTGGGTATCTGTGTTTTTGTCATTTTTATAATTTCTTTGAAAAAAAATGTAATTATGTTTAGTTTAAAGGGATAGTTCACCCAAAAATGAATATATTATTATACATGTCATCATTTGTCATTTTTTATGAAGCTTTACTGTAGTTCTTTCTTCTTTAGACCACAATACACATACATAATGAAGAAAGCTGGAAACCTGTAACTATTGCCTTCCATAGTATTCCTTTTTCCTACTATAGAAGTCTATATTTACAGGTTTCTAGCATTCTTCAAAATTTCTTCTTTAGTGTTCAACAAAATAAAAAAAATAAAAGTTTAAAACCACTTGAGGGCAAGTAAATAGTAAGTTAATGTCCATTTTTAGGTGAACTATCCCTTTAAAATAAAATCAACTAAAATGAAAAACTTTTTATAAAATCTATCATTTAAGTAAGAGATAATCAACAACTTGCCGTGGGTTTAATGTACGATGTGGAGGCAAAGAACCACACAACGTTTAGCGGAGATGAGATCCAGCGACAGGTCCTGAGATGGTCTGGCTGATATAAAGCTTCGCTTGGGGGGGAGCTATTTGTGGAGCTGCCACTGACTGCCTGGAGCTCAGATTCTACATTTTTAAAGATGTGCTATCCTTATACATAATATACCAATTTGACATTAAAATGATATATTCTCACTTGAAAAACTCCTAAAACTTGATTTTGTGGCATAATTGATGAGCATCTTTCTAATTTTCCAGATTTCCGCAGTTACAAGTCCTCATTGGTTGTACGTTCGAGTTGCTATAGTAACTACAAACGTTTGGGAGAAGTGTACGTTTTTAGAACTGTGACTGGAACCATTTCCCAGAGATGGGTTGCGGCTGGAAGGGCATCCGCTGTGTAAAAACGTGCTGGATAAGTTGGCGATTCATTCCGCTGTGGCGACCCCAGGTTAATAAAGGGACTAAGCCGAAAAGAAAATGAATGAATGACTGGAACTTCCTGAGCGTTTCAATGAAAATAGTGTACACACGCCAGCCAATCAGAATCAAGAATTTTAACAGACCATAGAATAAATTTACATATACGTGCATTGATGATTTATAATTATAACATAATTGATATATAATTTACTACCAACAAATATCAATATAAACCCCAACTTACTAGCCAAATTCAACTGAAAACAATCGTTAATACTTTTATGCTGTATTTGCATAATGACTTGTGTTACTGCCTATCTAGAGTGCTTTAAATTAATCACTAATGAAGTCTATTTTCCTTAGACAACATGTTTTTGAAACAGCTTTTTTTATTTTGACGGATATTTTGAGAGTAGTTGAATGTGAGTAATGTGATAGTAAAGTACTGTGAATCTACCTGGAGTGCAAATGTGGCTGCATCCACCGTTGAACTGTTCGCAGGGACTGCTGCACTGCTGCTGTTTGCTGTTAGATAAGACGTGGATGTCCATGGGTCGAGATGGAAGATTTTGTAGCATCACCCTCTGATCAGACCCGTCGTGCTTGTTTGCGCGGTAGATGCTGCGCGTGTTCCAGTCCGTCCAGTAGATATGCTGATCATAAACTGTCATTGCAAATGGGTAAATGGCGGTGCTTACAATGACCTCACGGTTAGTGCCGGTGAGCGAGCACCTCTCAATCTTCTGTCTGCAAAAACAGAATACATTTCAAAGGGTGTCATGAACTGAAAAATGTTTTGAGATGATCATTTTATGATTAAAAACATACTGTACGTTTCAGAGCTCAACACTTTCTGTTTAACATTTTCCAACCCAGGCTCATTCTGAAAACGTACCCCTATACACATTTCTGGAGAGCGCCAAATACATCTCAGGAGGTACAATTTTTTGCAGTTTTTGTTTTCAGTGATGTTCTGTTTTGGTCCAGTGATGACTTTTCAGGATTTCTCCACATTTGTTGTCCGTAAACGCAGAATGTTCGACAAAGTCAAGAAACGCCTAAAGGCCATAGGCGTGGAATACAGGCAAGCTTAACTTGCTTTCGTGGCTCGGTGAAGATATTTCATGACCCAGTTGCTGTTGTGGCATTTCTAGATTCGATGGATGCAATGTCTACCGATAGTACCTGAATCACCTGATGGTCGCCCAACTCACACCACGGGTCTCTCAGACACTCATGTGAAGGCAGAAATTGTAAATTTAACTGGGTATTTGTGAAAGATTGGCCAATAAGGCGTACTGTTCGGTTTATACACGGTAAAAAATGGCCATGATTTCAACTGTAAAAAACTGTACAAATGCTACAGTACAAATCCGTAACCTGGTTTACGGTATGTTTCCTTAATATTTACAGCGAATAACCGTAAATTGACTTTCCCAGAATTCCCTGCATGGTACATAACTTTTTATGCATTTTGTTGACATTAATATGGATCTTTTTAGTTGTTTCCCCATCAGTTATGCACATTAGAGATTTATGTTATATCTAATGTTGATAAACAATGTTTATTTCATTACTTTAATTATATGCGTGTTACCATACTGGTGTTTAGTAGCTGTGTGAATGACACTGAGCACCTTCTACAGTAGATGCTGATACTCCTTTCTGCTTGTGGGAAAAGTTAATTGTGATGAGCATTGGCTCATTATGTAACTTCCTCATCACCACCTGGATGTGGGTGTGCTAACGTGTCTAACTGTGTAACAAAAGATGTGTAGATGTTGCTCATTCAAAATACAGACATATTACCTCTATAAATTAATAAAATATGGTAATTTACCGTAAAATGAAAAATTACTTTTACGGTTTGTACCGTGTTTTTAACGGTAAAGTACTGGCGACCACAGCTGCCGGTATTTTACCGTAAATTTTACGGATTTATTTTTTACTGTGTAGAGTGGAGGAACTATGACGTCACTTTGTAGGCCAATCGGCTGCTAGCATAAAACTGGTTCCCTTGATAAAGACCCTATAGGATTTTCCCATCGGCTTTTCGAAGATTGCCAATAATACGCTCTGTGTTCAAACACAGTTCATTACACTTACACGTTTTGTCCAGTCGGATAATCCTCACACCAAAATACAACTTTGAGCACTTTTGGATGTTAAATGCAAACGCAAGGATTAAAAAGCTAACATTAGGCTATGAACGGACTACACTGCCCTCGGGGTGCTCGTCTGTGTCGTCAGCACCACCCTGCAACAGACAACTTTAATGCTTATTTTTAGAAATATGGTCACTGACAAAGAGTTAATCTTTCTGTTTTTATATTATAATCAACGCTATATATTATAAACAAATAAAAACGCAAAAACACATAGACCTACGTGCCTTTTGGATCGTTTTTATTTGGGAAATAGATCTGTTTTGCTTTACGATTGTAAAAGTTTTAAAACTGTATGTATAAATGTTCCTACATATCATAAGACATGTTTAAATAAGCGTGCACACAGCCCGCTTAGCTTTACAGACGACAGAAATGAGGCGTGAGGGAAAAGTCTCAAATGCCTGCTAATTCCATCATGGATCGAGAACAACATTCAGTATTTTTTTTTTGTCACGAAGTACAGCGAAAAGCAGCCCATACAGTCACATCTGCTATACATTTTAAGAAAGAGTGTAAATTGCCAGTTATGACAGAGTTAAATGTGTTCAGATGAAGAAAAAAATTACGAAAAATCGCTCAATCACGTTAAAATTACAGTTAACATGTATGTATTTTTACACATTTATTCACACCCTTGCATTACTGAGAGCAGGAGAGAGACAGACTGCACATGTAAGCAGTATCTTCATAATATTGTTTAATTAAAATAAATGATCAACAAATTAATGTCTCGACAGGCTTTACAAGTGAAGGAATTATCTACACACAATATGATTTCCCAAGTACAAAAATACTAAAAACTATAAAATACTATTCATGAAAATACCTAAACAACAGAGAAATACAAATGCCCAACACAAGCAAGCTGCACTCCAGACCAGCTCAGCTCGATGAGGTATAATATCTCCGACACCGCCTGTAGTCCCATTTAGCAACTTGATAGCAGCCATCCTTTTAAAGAAGCATAACCGATTTAAAAAATCAAGAGTTTAATGTAACTGATGTGTTTTATGTCGTAGAATAAAACGTGAAAGTATGTTGAGTTTGCATCAGCCACAAACCTTTTTTAAGCGATTTAAGTGAAATCCCATTGAAAAAACCCATTGACTTTGGGACGAGGGAACCGGAACTGCTAAAATGCTAACTCGCTTTCGGGTTTTTACATACAAATTGATGTTATAGTTCCTCCACTCTATTAAACCATGCTGATGTAAATAACGGCACTACCACTTAAAATTTAGGTTGGAGTTTTCTTAGTAGTTCCTTCTTCTCAGTTACTCTCTTAACTAGAGTTGGTGTGGAATATTTTTGATGTTTAATAACTATTGTTTTATTGTTCGAGTTTTGTGTCTGTTATATACTTGGATAAATCTCTTTCCCTATTTTCTCTCCCCCTTTTTCATTTTCTTTCAATTTTCCCCCTTCTTTTTTTCGTACGATATTTGTTTACAAGACTTTTGACAACTGGATCATGTAGCCAGGAGTTTTAGCTTCAAAACGATGTAAAAAGTATCTTGCTTACTTTTTACAGAAAAAAATACACCGATTTAAATTTGCTAAGACACGGAAAATGGCTCTATGGCTCATATGCAAGGAGGCAGGAACAATCATTACTAAGGCATAAAAATAGACCCTTTACAGTTTAATCTTATCAATATGAGCAAAAAGACAGAGTTTTTTATGGAGTAGTGTGCTAAAACACATGTCTGCATTTGCCAAACTCAGAGCATTAAAATATAAATAAATGAATCAAAATATGACATCTTACAAGCTGGCATCTGCCCAGTAGAGCCTCTGATCATCATAGTCCAGCGTCAAACCATTTGGCCAAACTAGACTGGTGTTGACAATCTCTGTCCTGAAGTTTCCTCCGAGAGTTGCGCGCTCTATCTTTGCACTGGTTCCCCAGTCTGTCCAGTACATATACCTGAGCATAAACAGAAACAGAAAAATACCTATAAAAACACGATGGCACAGTGGGTAGCATGATCGCTTCACAGCAAGAAGGTCACTGGTTCGAGCCTAAATTGTCCATAAATTGTCCGTAGTGTATGTGTGTGAATAAGTGTGTATGATTGTTTTCCAGTGATGGGTTGCAGCTGGAAGGGCATCCGCTGCTTAAAGCATGCTGGATTAGTTGGCGTTTCATTCTGCTGTAGTGACCCCAGATTAATAAAGGGTCTAAGCTAAAAAGAAAATTAATGAATGAATAAACATTTATATCACGGAGCTGCTGATCACAGACTCACCCTCTACACGGATCCAGCATGATGGCTCTGGGTCTGGGCACCTGCGCCACAACAGTCCTCTGAGATCCATCCACTGCCATAGAGCTGATAGTCTGGTTAATGTAGTCACTGTAATAGATCCTCCTGTTAATCCAGTCATAGGCGATGCCGTCAGGAGCTCCCAGATCTCCACAGAGAAAAAATCATTCCCAAAAACAAAGATTTACAAGCACATAATAAGAAATGGTCAATTAAAGGAATAGTTATGTACAAAAGAAGATATACATAGTAGAAGAAACAAATATTATAACGTCCATGAATTTCCAGCTTTCTTCAGATTATCTTCTTCAGTGTTCAACTGAACAAAAAGAACAAAAAAAAAAACTCAACCTGGTATGGAACAAGTGTGAGCAAATGACAGTTTTTTTTTACTTTTATTGGGATCAATGTCAATTTAACTGCCTTGCAAACCACTGAAAACATGTTAATTATCTACCAACAGCTTGCCAAGAAACCACATTGAACACTTTAGGAACTGCAATGCCTTGGTAACCATCCAAGACACCCTGGTAACCCTTTAGGAAGGTTCTAGTAACAATCAATGGAGACTAAACTCTTAACAATAACTTTGAAACTACCAACACCCCAAAACACCTCAGCAACCATATTGCAATGTACTACCAAGCAACCACGACAAAAGATCTAGCAACTGGTTCACAACTACTCACAACTATTCAGAAAATATTAGCGCATAAAAATTACCAGAACCCACGGGTAAGGCTTGGTGATAAAAAAAAATAATAAAAAAAATAATAATAAAAAAAAAAATAATAAATAAATAAATATATATATATGACTATATATATAATAGTCAGAACTATTAACCCCCTCTGAATTATTAGCCTGTTTAATATTAACACATTTTTAATATTAACACATTTTTAAACATTTAAAATGACGTTTAAAGGCTTAATTAGGTTAAATAGGCAGATTAGGGTAATTGGGCAAATCATTGTATAACGATGGTTTATTCTGTAGACAATCAAAAGAAAAAATGTTGCTTAAAGGAGGCTAATAATTTTGACCTTAAAATGGTTTTTAAAAAATCCTAGCCAAAATAAAACAAATAAGACTTTCTCAAGAATGAAAAAAAATTATCAGACGTACCGCGAAAAATGCCTTGCTATGTTAAACATCATTTGGGAAATATTTGAAAAACAAATAAAATTTCAAAGGGAGACTAATAATTCTTACTTTAACTAAATATATATAACTGGATTAACATAGCTCACTCCGTGTCCACTGTTTTTCAGATGTGCTTGTATCAATCTGTTGTACATCGCTTTTTTGGAGTAAAGTCAGCTGATCGCTTTAAAAGCAACAGGTTTACTTGCTTTTTTAAATTAAAGTGAGCTTATCCCTTTAAAAGCAGCAGGTTTACTCTTTTTTTAAATGTAAAGTCAACTAATTGCTTTAAAAGCAAAGGGCTTACTCACTGCTTTAAAGGCAACAGGTTTACTCACTTTTTTACAGTAAAATTGACTAATTGCTTTAAAAAAACAGGTTTAATGTAAGTCAACAAATCGCATTAAAAGCAGTAAGTCAAAGTTTTTACAGTAAAGTCAACTACTGTAATCGCTTTAAAAGAAACAGGTTTACTCACTTTAAAAAAAAAGTCAACTAATCACTTTAAAAGCAATGGGGCTACTCAGTTTTTAGAGTAAAGTGAACCAAATGCAGTAAAATCAACAGGTTTACTGACATTTTTAAAGTAAAATTAACTGATGGCTTTAAAGCAACAGGTTTGGGGAGTATTTTTAAAGTAGCATCAACTTATCGCGTCTTTTATTGCACACCTAGCCAACATTACCATGTTAACAACACTTGCCCAAAAACTGCTTTAGATCCATTCTGATTTCCATCTTTTTTATATGTTATAACATTAATGAATCAGCGTATATGGTGTATTAGAAATGAACAACATCGAGCCTGCAAACCAAACTAACCACTGACATGCAATGTCACTGCAGATACTGTGTTAAGCCCAGCATCCAAGGATTTTCTTAATGAACTTCTCTTTCCAAGCTAAACCTGCAATGTCAGGGTGCATTAAGAGTTTAAATAAGCTGCTAACCTGAGGCCACCTCAGTAGCGGGAGAGGTAGGCGAAGCCAAAGTAATGAAGCTAATCTTGCTCTGGCCTGCTCCCGAGCTCTGGGTGAAATAGATCCTGCCATCCAAGCGGTCGAAATCAAGCGCCACCGAAGTCCGGGGCACGTTTACTACAGGAAAGGGCAGCGAATGATCGTCTGGGTCCAGTCGCAGAGAGCGCACGGTGCTTTCTGTAGTATAAATGAGGTAGTCATCCCGGGATACCACACAGCTGCTGTCATCCGCAGCCAGATTCCCAAAAGCACACGAACATTTCCTGGTCTGAGCTCCTGCCATGGCAAAGCAGAAATGAGCACAGCCTCCATTCGACTCTAAGCAGGGGTTGTTATTGAGCTCATGGGCTGAACTTGGCTGCATTCTGCGGTCAAAAATGGTGACGTCCCGCAGCATGTTGATGTTGTCTCGGATCACGGCTGGCTGGTCGGTGGCACCAGGCTGTTTGCTTGCTCGAAAGACTTTCTTGAGGTTTCTGTCCACCCAGATTACATTTCCTTCAAACACAGTGATGCCATACGGAGTCGGATAGCGGCTTCCGTAACGGACGACCTCCGTTTCGCCCCCTTCAGGCCGAACTCGTGCAATCATATCCAAGGAATCATCCACCCAGTAGATGTATCCGTCTCGGTGGTCCAGAGCAAGACCTCTGGGGGTGACGATGCCAGAGGAAACCAGAGCTGTCCGGTTGGAGCCATCTAGAAATGCTCGCTCGATTTTGGGGGTCTGTCCATAGTCAGCCCAGAAGAGGTATCTGTTTTTAGGATCCACCACAATATGACGAGGCATGTCTACTTGGGTCTTGAGAAGGACACGGCGGAAAGTGGTATTGAGCCGAATGACTTCGATGTACGTCTCGGTCAGGAAGGCATTGGTGAAGTAGAGGTTTCCTGAGGGAACAAAAAAATCCAAGAAATAGTAATGAATAATGATGCAATAGGGATGCAAAATGTGTGCATAAACACTGGAGGCTTTATTTTAATGGTCAAAGTCTAAAGCGCATGGCGCAAAAGCACTAAGAGCGTGTCCAAATCCACTTTTGCTATTTTAAGGACGGAAAAATATTGCAATAGGTCTAACAGAATTGTGCTTATTCTTTTAACAAGTTATGGGTGTGGTTTGAGTATAACGTGCATTAAACCAATCACAGTCTCATCTACCATTACCTTTAAGAGTCAGTTGCGTGGTGCATTTGCTATGTACATGGCAGACTTTGTTAAAAGAAAGTCGTTTTCCTAGTTAGAAAACAGTTAAACAGACCATCTGCAGCACGAGGATAAAGACTGAGCCTCCTCCCTTCGGTTTCTTTACTTTCTTTTTGCTTTACTTTTATTCTTTACTTTACTCCATTACTTTAGGAAACGCAGGATGTTGTACACACTCAACTGAAGACATCCATTAGTTGTGGTCAATCTAAAAACCGCTCTAATTTTTCCAGTTTTTATGTTTTTAAATTAAAGGAAAAAAAGGACTGTTTGTGTTTATATCACCCCAATATGACAGTCTATACACTATAATTACACATATGTCTGTCCAAACAGCTTGAAAAGTAGATATTTTTTACCAGAGGTGCCCTTTAAGTCTAATATTCATCTTTTTTGTGTTTACTCTGCAAAGATCCATAAACATTTTCATTAAACATTTAATTTGATTATTATTAGTAATTTCAGTTATAAAAAATGCATTTTTGTGTCTGTCCCTGCATTCTGCTCAACTCTGTTACATCAGTTATAAAAGTTCAAGAAAGCTTTAAAAAAAATAAAAAATTATATATATATATATATATATATATATATATATATATATATATATATATATATATATATATATATATATATATATATATATATGTATGTACACACACACACACACACACTAATGGGGTCAGTAGGATTTTTAAATGTTTTCAAATACGCTTCTCCTGCTCACCAAGGCTGATTTTTTAAATCAAAAATACAGTACAGATTGTAAAATTGTGAAATGTTATTGCACTCTAAGATAACTGGTATTGATAAAAGTAGTTTATCATTTAATTTAATAATTCTTCACATAAGTCCAATGATCCTTCAGAAATCGCTCTAATATTTATTATTATTATTTACTATTATTATTATTATTAGTAATAAAATAAATAATAAATAATAACTGGCCTATTCATTTAATTTGAAACTGCATACAATAAATAATAAATTTGTATTTAATAAATAAGTATTTAACTATTTATATTTCATAAATGCCACCTTGATGAACAGAATCATTTTCTTAAAAAACTAAACAAAAAAAACGACCCTAAATTTTGGACCAGTAGTGTGTGTGTGTGTGTGTGTGTGTGTGTGTGTGTGTGTGTGTGTGTGTGTGTGTGTGTGTGTGTGTGTGTATATATATATATATATATATATATATATATATATATATATATATATATATATATATATATATGAACATAAACAAGTTTTATCTCAAACATATATTGTCCTTTTCAAGATTTTCTAACAAAAGTCAAGTTTCCACAAACATAGTGATACTGGTAACAACAAAAGTCTAAATGATTTCTGCATGTACTTTATGTAATGGCTGATAGTGATACCCAATCAATATGATTATTGTAAACTGTAATACTATTTCATAATATCAGTATTTGACTAGACTGTATATTTGATCAATTAAATGCAGAGGAATGAAACATCAAAACGACTCTCAAAACCCTCCATGATGCAAAACATTGACAGTAGAGTATTTAGATTAAGAATAAAAGGGCTATAATTACAAACTAAAGTATTACAAATTATAAACTAAGACAACTTTGCATATTCATATATTCAGGTCAAAAGTTTATGGTTAAGAAATCATGGATTGAAGAGGCCTGAGCTAACTGAGCCTCTTTTGTGTCATATGTTAACCTTTAATCCTCTGCAGAGCCACCTGTCTGTGCTTATACTAGCGGGAGTTCATTAATATGTTCCCTATAGTCAGGCTTTACCATTCTGACCCCTAAAGCTGCTCTAGAACATTCCAGAACAGCACACAGCACATGAAAACAGTGGCGACCTCTGAATCAAGTCTATCTGAGGTGCCTGGTGCTAGAGTTCACATTCAATAGGTGTAGAATGTAGCCAAATTTGTTTCAATCAGTCATAATTATACTGCATGACAACAGAAATTGTTAAACAAAACAGTGTTTTCAACAGTATTAAAGTTTTGAGAAGAAACAATAAAACTTTTACAGCCTCACTCTCAATTGGTCGGTTACAGCAGTTACAATAGTGTTCAACTTGACTAAAATTTAGTCTGTCCTGCCACAATTTTACTTGGTTCATTTCTCCACAGATTATAGCAACTCATTTCACAGATTATGTGGGGAACTCCATAAGTGTTTCAGGTTTTTATCAAGTTTAAGATTAAGCTCAAGACATAGTAGAAAACTCAATACTCCATTCAAGACTCATTGGAGATATGTTCTCAAAAATGTAGTCCTGGGCACATATCTCCAATGAACCTAGGTTGAAGTATTGAGTTTCTTTTAATACTTAAGGCAATTGCACGTTCTTGTTATAAATCCACCAGAGATCGATGTGAACATTTCTGCTAAAACACTGTCTGCTTTGCATCCCAAGACCAATGCCATATGAGGTGAGCTACTGAGCAAACTGGTCATGCCAGAAAAGCCATTATATGGAGGCAAGTGGTCAGCAGTAAATGAAAACAAACAGAAGTTGTTGATGATGTTATACAATAGTGTCACAGCAGTGATTTTACCCACAAAATGTAGTTATACGTATGTCAGGACACATATTTGCAGTTCCCCAAAATTGGAGCCCTGGGCACATATTCCCAATGAGACAACACTTTGAAGAGAGCTACCAAGCAAATTGGCCATGCCAAAAAGCATTATATGGAGGCAAGAGGTCAGCAGTAAGTGAGCCACTTGTATGAGGTGAGCTACCAAGCAAATTGGTCATGCCAGAAAAGCATTATATGGAGGCAAATGGTCATCAGTAAGTGAGCCACTTGTACGAGGTGAGCTACCGAGCAAACTGGTCATATTAGAAAAGTCATTATATGGAGGCAAGTGGTCAGCAGTAGCATGAAAATGAACATAAGTTGTCGATGGTGTTATAGGACAGTGTCAGTGCATTATTTTTGCACACAAAATGCAGTTAGACGTATGTCAGGACACATATTTGCAGTTTTACAAAATTGTAGCCCTTGGCACATATTCCCAATGAGACAGCACTTTGAAGAGAACTACCGAGCTAATTGGTCATGCCAGAAAAGCCATTATATGGAGGCAAGTGGTCAGCAGTAAATGAAAACAAACAGAAGTTGTTGATAATGTTATACAATAGTGTCACAGCAGTATTTTTACCCACAAAATGTAGTTAGACGTATGTCAGGACACACATTTGCAGTTCCCCAGAATTGGAGCCCTGGGCACATATTCCCAATGAGACAACACTTTGAAGGGAGCTACCAAGCAAATTGGCCATGCCAGAAAGCATTATATGGAGGCAAGAGGTCAGCAGTAAGTGAGCCACTTGTACGAGGTGAGCTACCAAGCAAATTGGTCATGCCAGAAAAGCATTATATGGAGGGAAGTGGTCAGCAGTAAGTGAACCACTTGTACAAGGTGAGCTACCAAGCAAATTGGTCATGCCAGAAAAGCATTATATGGAGGGAAGTGGTCAGCAGTAAGTGAACCACTTGTACAAGGTGAGCTACCAAGCAAACTGGTCAAGCCAGAAAAGCCATCATATGGAGGCAAATGGTCATCAGTAAGTGAGCCACTTGTACGAGGTGAGCTACCGAGCAAACTGGTCATACTAAAAAAGTCATTATATGGAGGCAAGTGGTCAGCAGTAGCATGAAAATGAACATAAGTTGTCGATGGTGTTATAAGACAGTGTCAGTGCATTATTTTTGCACACAAAATGCAGTTAGACGTATGTCAGGACACATATTTGCAGTTTTACAAAATTGTAGCCCTTGGCACATATTCCCAATGAGACAACACTTTGAAGAGAGCTACCGAGCTAATTGGTCATGCCAGAAAAGCCATTATATGGAAGCAAGTGGTCAGCAGTAAGTGTGCCACTTGTACGAGGTAAGTTACCAAACAAACTGGTCATGTCAGAAAAGTCACTATATGGAGGCAAATGTTCAGCAGTAGCATGAAAATAAACAGAAGTTGTCGAGGGTGTGATACGACAGTGTCATAGCGTTATTTTTGCACACAAAATGCAGTCAGACGTATGTCAGGACACATATTCGTGGTTTTCTAAAATTGTAGCCCTTGGCACATATTCCCAATGAGACAACACTTTGCAACACACTTTGCATACATCGTTCATGCATTTCATTCTCTCTCTGCGTATGAATACAGACCACCTTTTACATGTTATTGCTTTTTAATGGATAGGATAAAACAGAATGTCAAATAATGTAATTATCTGAAGAATGTTAAGCATTGTTTTCATCTGTATATTTGTTCTGTTATTTTAACTGATTTGTGTAATTGGCTTAATTTGCTTATTTTCTCATTTCTGACTCGTTGCTTGTTTCATTGTAGACAGAACGTCATACGAAACAATTTTTTTCTTTACTACTAGAACTGGACTTAAGAATTGTGCAATTTATTAGAATGTAAAAAGTATCATTTATTTGAATGTTCCGTGATTCAAAATAACAAAAACCTTTTTTTTTTAGGCAGGGCAGGTGAAAATCTTAAACATTAAGCCATGCTTGAGCTTTAAACTTTGGCAAATTAAAAAAATATTATAATTTGAATTAATTTTGTGGTAATAGTTCCCAGTGATATTGAAAATGGCATTAAACATCAATATTTTAAAATAGATTGTATCAAAGTTTAAAAATCCACCATCTTAGCAACACTAAATAATTTCCACAAATACAAGTTTGCAAGTCCTCACCTGCAGCCCAGTCTACTGCAATGCCCCGTATGCCGTTTCGTCCGATTCCAGAGGTGACGATGCTGCGAAATCCAGATCCATCCGGTTTAATCCTGCGGATGCCATTCTGGGACGCTACTGTGCTGCTAAAGTCACACCAGTAGATGAAACTTGAGGCCATGTGCACGTCTACATGAAGAGCATTGCGGCCTACAGAACACAGACACACACATGCAACCTGTTATAATGCCATCATATTTTATACTATACTATACCATTCTATATTAAATAATATAATTATATTTGTAAAAATATATGTTCCTAAGTTCATTTAGGGGTAAAAAATATTGCGGCTATAGTCATGTATAGCTAAAAATATCTTCTTTGTATAAATAATAAGTTATATTTATAATATATATATATATATATATATATATATATATATATATATATATATATATATATATATATATATATATATATATATATATATTAGAATGTCAATTTTTTATTTAGTTTTTAGATAAAAATAGAAAACATCTATTATATCAAATATGCTAAATTATTAATAATTAGTTTTTTTTTTATTTAAAGTTAAATAAATAATAATAAATAAACCAAACAAGTAAATAAATACTTGTTAGGATAGGGCAATATTCAGCCGATACAACTATTTAAAATTCATGAATCTGAGGGTTAAAATGTTTACATTGAAAGTTAACAACTTTAAAAAGTTCAAATGAAGTTTTTAGCAATCCATAATATTAATAAAACAATACGTTTTTATATATTTCTATTTTACAACATTTACAAAATATCTTCATAAAACTATTAATATCTGTACTTAAAAATTCTAATGATTATTAGCATAAAAGAAAAGTCAATACTTTTTATAATTTTTTTGCCTATAAATAATAAATAAGGGCTCAATGTAATGCGAGATCAGCAATGGTATATCATAAACACGTGATCCTCTCAAAATCTGTTTATAAAACATCACCTCAAGTCAAAAAAAATTATTATAATTGCACGCAATGCCACTTATCAGTGTTAGTTTCAAAGCAGTGGACCAACCAGATGAACTTAGTAGTTTTTTTTTTAATTGCAACTTTTTGCTTACAGGCACTCTGTTGCTGTATCCTGATATCCTTGTGCTTTAGATTCCTGAGCGCTGCATTCTGTATTTTTAAACGTTTTATACATTCTGTGTGAATGAAATATAACACCGGTTTTATGGTCCAGGGTCACATGCAGTGCTTTACTTTAACACCCGCCAACCCGCCAAAATGCGGGTAGATTTCAGCTCTGGCGGGTTAGACAGACACCTCCACAAGCCACATTGGCTGGTTGGAAATCATTTTTAAATGGTAGTTTTCTTAAAAGCAGGGTTCAACAATAAGCATGGCCCAACATGCGTGCAAATGTGATATTAAAGTCGAGAAGCAGCACGACAAAAAGAAAAAGAATGGTGAATACAGAATGAGAGCAATGATCACTCGCTCCGTGCTTGCTCCCGTGTACTTGCGCAAAGAACCCGTGCCTAAATGAAGCCCAACGGGTGCGATTGGTCCCCTTTGAAATAGACTGGACAAAGAGCGATGATCATGCACCCACAGTCCTGCTGCTTTCAAGAGCTCAAGGTTTATCAAAAATACACATATTCTATTATAAGCAGCAGCAGTCACTGCGTTCATTTGAATTATTCTTAAAAGAGAGTATTAACAGGCATAACATTAACCATGTGCACGATATGTTTCACCTGCTTTCTTTTGCTTACAGTTATTTTTGTTAATATGGTTTGATTATAATTTTTTACAATAACATTGCTTTAATGGGAGATCACTCCCCGTATATGTGTAGATAACTGGTGATCTGGGACTTTTAGCCAGGACAGATTACTGTGCATATTTTAGATACATGACAATAACTATTTTTTAAACGGAATGTTTTTCTAAAGAAAAGTTTTGTTGAATTAAGAAGTGCACCTACAGTATATATGCGCTATATTTTCCTTGTTTTTACACATTAAAAAATTGTGGCTAAGAAATACTTATTTGGTGTGGTCAGAGATAAATGTGGTAAATCCTTAATTTTGAGCCCTGAAAAGTCATGTGAAATAAAAACTGATTGCATTGCGACAGTCCATTTGCTCATGCGCACTGAGCAACCTAATACACAATACACACAAGAAGTTAAAGGTGCAGTAGGGGATCGTCTTCAGAAACACTTTTTGTTGTGCTGGTTGAAAGTCTCTTCACATTCCAATAGTAATGATTACAGTAAATGATTTAAATGTGTTTATATGTATTTTTATATTCTGGGTAAAGCGTAAAACTAAAAAATGTTCATCCAATTAAATAGAGTCGGACCGACATCTCTCATCATACCGATAAGCAGCTCAGACTGTCTGTTAGGAAATGTAGATTCGGATTTCTGCGCATCTGTTCACAGAAGAAGCGGCCAAGCGGTCACGAGACAGACCGTGAGAAATCAAATGCTGAATTAAAACTTTTTAAAATCCTGAATAAATATTGGAGTTATTTTTGCACGCTGGAAGAAGGACGACACCATGGCTGAAGTATTACTGTAAGACAGGTAATGCTCTGTTTTTAAACTATTTTAGTCAGGCTAAGCTTATGTTATGCTTGTGTTAGCTAAGCGTGTTCTGTTATGAATGACTTATATGCACAGACGTGTTGTTCAGCCACTGTAATCTCCCGGTGAAAGATTGATGTGATTATTTTCAGTTTCATACGGTCCTCTTACAGCATCGATAATGTAGATTTATATTTAGTTTAACAACAAAACATCAGTAAATAGCGCTATTCCACCTGGCCTGCTTTATTGAGCTGAAGTTGCTTTTATATTCACATTGGGTCATTTTTAAACACTGACAGCCTTCCTATACTGTTTACCAAGATACTCTGAATATTCACTCTGAAATAGCATGTACGTGTGGCTAAGAAATAAATGTAATTCCTGCACAGCGCTAGCTAAACACTAACTAACTGGTGAATGAGAGGAACTAGTGGGTTGTCTGTCTGCTGTTGTGACGCGGTGCGCACGCTCTCGATATCAGGGGTGTGGCTTTGAATCACAGTCCCTTCCTGCCATCCAAAGATAATATGCTGAGCGGTTAGCATTTAGGCAGATCACCTACTGCACCTTTAAATGAATGAGAAGGCATGTGGACATAACACAATATCTATATCAAGTAATTTTAGCATGTCAAAGTCAAATTTAAGCAAATTATATTTCCCAACAAGAAAAGTGTGGCTAGTGAAAAATGGAGAGTCGCTAGTAATGTAGGAAATGTACTAGCCACTAGGGATGTAACGGTATTGTAAATACCGTCATACCGCAATATTATTTTTTTTCGATATTACCGTAGTCGCACAACGTTACCCACTGCTGTCAACCTGGGCCAAGTCATATCTCTCTTGTCCCAGAAACCTCAGTCCCAAATGAGAGGGTTTTTTTTTCTGTTGCAGGGGACATTGTAAATACCCAGAGATACCAGCTTTTACCAGATTATATTTATATGATAATTTTCCTTTAAACCCATCTCTGTCTAAGTGAGTGAGTGATTAAATGTTGAATGTGATGAGTTTTCAACACTACTAAACTGAAACTTAATTTTTTTACATGGTTTAATATTTTTTTGTAATTAAAATTGAAGTTCCTGTTTCAAAGCTTACAGATAGATGGCTAATTTGTATGTCATTGACACTTTTGGCACTTTTTTGGAGTATTTTCATTAGTTTTGTTTTTTCCTGTAAATGATTCAATAAATACCGTACCGTGACATTCATACCGAGGTATTACCGTACCGTGAAATTCTGATACCGTTACATCCCTACTAGCCACTGTGGCTGGTGATCAAAAAAGTTAATGTCAAGCACTGGTCACATGTATTATTATATTCTATTGATTAAATACAGCTGAAGTCAGAATTATCCCTCCTGAATTATTAGCCCCCCTGTATATGTTTTCCTAAATTTTTGTTTAACAGAAAAAAAATTCAACTCATTTCTAAACATTTGCCATGATACGGAACCCCGGAAGGGACGTAGTGGAGGAGAAAAAAATTGGCTGGGTGAAAAAAAAAAAAATGGGTGAAAGAAAAAAAATGGGTGGGAGGAAAATATATAATTCTAAGTTTTTGCGTTCTCTCGCAAAGTTTTGCGTTCCCTCGCAAAGATGTTTTGCGTTATTTTGCAAAGATGTTTTGCGTTATCTCGCAAAGATGTTTTGCGTTCCCTCGCAAAGTTGTTTTGCGTTCCCTCGCAAAGATGTTTTGCGTTCTCTCGCAAAACTGTTTCTCCACAAACACTTCCTGTTCACTGCACTCACGTTAACCCTCCCGTTTTTGCTGAATTTCTCCCATATACCATTCTATCCCACTTTCTTTACATTACTGTGCGCTGATTGTCGCCTTTCACTTTGCAACCTCTGAACCAGTGAATGCATGTTTAAGCGCTGACTGACAGACGCGCTTCGTACAATAAACTGATCCCAGATCAGCGTCTGTACGCGCCATTTAAAGGGACACTTCTGTTATCAAACAAGTGCGCAGCAAATGAATCTCATGTTTTGTTTAGTTTGATAACAGAGGTGTCTCTGTAAGAATGCACAGATCTATAATGAAAGCAGTCCATTACTTTAGAAACTGTTTGTGCTCATTTAAGAGAAAATAAGCGGTTTAAAATAAAACATGCAGGACGGAGATGTTTCATATTATTCAGTGTATTTGTCTGTTTAAACATACACCCGCTCCTCTGTAAATGGCGTGTACAGACGCTGATCTTGGATCAGTTTATTGTATGGAGCGCGTCTGTCAGTCAGCGCTTATACATGCATTCACTTGGTTCATAGGTAGCATACGCACAGTAATGTAAAGAAAGTGGGATAGAATGGTAAAATACGGGAGAATTTCGGCAAAAACGGGAGGGTTTACGTGAGTGCAGTGAACAGGAAGTGTTTGTGGAGAAACAGTTTTGCGAGAGAACGCAAAACATCTTTGCGAGGGAACGCAAAACAACTTTGCGAGAGAACGCAAAACATCTTTGCGAGGGAACGCAAAACATCTTTGCGAGGGAACGCAAAACTTTGCGAGAGAACGCAAAAAACTTAGAAATATATATTTTCCTCCCACCCATTTTTTTCTTTCACCCATTATTTTTTTTTTACCCACCTATTTTTTTTCTCCTCCACTACGTCCCTTCCGGGGTTCCGTACCATGATGACATAATATTTCACTAGATATTTTAATATTTTACAGAAGAAAACGTATTATAGAAAATACTGTGAAAAATCCATTGCTCTATATTAAACATCATTTGGGAAATATTTGAAAAATGAAAATAAAAATAAAATATATATATATAAAAAAAAAAAAAAAAAAAATCGGTCACACTTTACAATAAGGTTCATTAGTTAATGTTAAGTAATGCATTTACTAACATGAACAAACAATGAACAATACATTTACTATAGTATTTGTTCATGTTAGTTATTGTTAGTTAATGAAAATACAGTAGTTCATTGTTAGTTCATGTTAACTCATGGTGCATTAACTAATGTTAACAAGCATGGACTTGGATGTCAATAATGCATTAGTAAATGTTCAATTATGATTAATAAATGTTGTACATGTGTTGTTCATGATTAGTTCATGTTAGTAACTGCATTAATTAATTAACCTTTTTGTAAAGTATTACCAAAAAATCACAGGTGGGCTAATAATTTTGACTTCAACTGTATATTACAATAATTTATATATAAAACAGTGTTATTTTTCTTTTTAATCTATACAATCCACCCTAGAGACCCCCACCTCTTCCAGCTACAGGCACCATAGACTCGGAGTGATCCACTCCCTCCAGACTGAAGCCTTTGATGGCAGTGAGCATAGAGATCACCACGTATGACTGGTATGGAGAACAGGTCCGGTTATCAGCACTGAGTTTGAACCCGGTCGCACAGGCGCAGCTGAACAGACCACCAGGACGAGGGAGACACAACTGCTCACACGTGCCCACATTATTACTGCAACCGTTAGATGAGCCGGCTGACGCTGTAAGAGACAGACAGAGAGAAAACAGATAAGAGAAGGAGATGGAGACATTTAATACCTTTACAAGAAAACTGCACAGATAAACGGAGTCATGTCTAGCCATTCGGGTAATGCATACACATTCCTATCACTGGTGCACATCCATCTCATCTGCATGAAACTTCCATTCAGGACTGAAAAAAAAAAATGGTAACCCTTGAGTTTAAGGACCAATTCTCCCATATGAACTAGTGCTTTAGTACTTTATTACCTGCCTATTACTTAGAAATTAATAATAGGCCGTGTATTGGTTTTTGCAAAGCACATATTCTTCATCTCTAATCTTAACAGAGAAAGACACAGATGACAGACAGCTCATTGGTCAAAAATACCAAGGAAGTTTTTTTTTGATGTTTTTGTGGTGGAGCCTATTCAAGCCTTTCTGAAACGATGAGTCACTCACAAATGGCGCTGCAAAGGTTTGCTGTACATACACACATGTGCGTGTTTACTGACATTGTGTGGCTGTGGTGATTCCAGATTTTACCAACCCAGGCTCATTGCGAATACATACCCAGTCTACATAACTGGGGACAGCATCTGGTCAGCACCATGTACGTTTGCTCGCAGTTTTTGTATTTGCAAATCCACCAGATGCCACTGTATGCACTTTTTGATGATCTCAAATTCCTCTCATGCATCCTCTTCTTGTGTACATCCTCCAGAGGGCACAATATTGTCACACAACCAGCGATCGCTTCCCAGAGGATCGCTGGTTTTCACACGAACTCTCTAAACTACATTTCCGCTTTTCCCAGGACTACACATTCATACATGCACTGCTCCCAAACACACACGTCTGTTCATTCATCTATCCTGATTGCATCACCAGCTGAGCCTTGTTCACAGACTGATTTCATTCCATTCATAAGCCCCTCATTCACGCTTCCAGTTTGCAGAGTCTTGTTTTCCCAGAGTAACATTACAACGCGTTTCCCTGTCTTGTTTCTCCGTGTCTCGATCCTAGCCTTGTACCTTTGTTATCCTGTTTAGCCGCCTGCCTTTCGACCTTTTGCCTGTTTAACGTTTACGATTCTGGACTGCCTTCATATACCTGTTTGCACCTGATGACCACAGCTTGCCTGACTTTGAATAAAACTGCATATTGGATCTTACCTCCTGTTGTCTCCAGTCACTCCACCCCAGTCTTGGTAACAAATATACACTTCAGCCGATCAGGCTAGCTTGCTGACGACTGACTGAAGAACCAACTGAAAACCCTAAAGCCAACCAATAGTGTTTTTAAAAGCAATCTAGAGAAAGAAAAGTCCTCAAGTTTAATCTCTGTTTTTACTCCAAGATGTCAAGAAGAATAGTTTCATAATGCGATGCAAGCATCGAACTGACATCGCAACATATACATGAATGACAGCTCCAACCTGAAAAAAACACGTGGTAAGTGGCAAAATTATCCATATTTTTAGATAGCAACTATGGAATAACTAAAGAAACTGCTGTTTAATGGAATAACTGATTATTTGACTACATATTTTTCAAGATACTAGATATTTTGTAACCTTAGAATTATAAGGTACTATCTGACATTTTTCTCAAAATTTAGTTATTCATGTCATTCGAGGAAATTGTGAGTAAATATAATATTCCTGCAAAACATTTCTTTAAATATTTACAAATACGAGATTTTATCTTTAAATTACAAAATAATTCTCTAGATATGCCATCATTCTCTATTTTGGAAAACGTAATAACTAAAGACTGTTTTAGTGAAGGTTTAATTTCGGCATTATACAAGATGCTGGTGTCAGCATCAAAGGAATCTTCAAATTGTAAATTGGAAGCTTGGAGATTAGATCTTGAGGAGGATATTTCTACAGAGGACTGGATGAAGATGTGCGAGGAAGCTCAATCACTAACAATAAACACTCGTCTAAAACTGTTACAATATAAATGGTTGATGAGGATTTATATAACTCCAGTTTTATTGCATATATATAATGAAAATATTCCAGATACTTGCTTGAGATGTAGGGACCAAAAAGGAACGTTGTATCACTGTATATGGGAATGTAAAGGAATACAGAACTTTTGGAAATGTATGAAAGAAATTATAGAAAATATTCTTGAGGTTTCTATACCAATGTCTCCTTTAATTTTTTTATTTCATTTATATCCCAAGGAGATCAAGTTAAAAAAGATGGAGCAAATGTTTTTGAATATATGTATTCTACAAGCGAAACGGCTTATTTCTTTAAATTGGAAAATTATATGTGCACCAACTATAGGTTGTTGGCTGAAAGAGATGGTGACAAATATGAAAATGGAAAAAATAACTTGTATGATAAGAAATAGATATATAATTTTTGATAGAGTTTGGGGACCTTTTACACTATTTTTAAAAGGTGGTGGATTTAGAAATGTTTTACTAGAAGATTAGTAATAGAGGTGATTTTGTATTTTGATGTAAAATACTGAGAAGCCTTTTGTTTTGTTTTGGTTTGTTTGTTCATTTGTTGGTTTGTTGGTTTGTGTTGGAATTGACACATGGAAATGTGTATGTACATGTTACTTAAAATATAATAAAAGGGAATTGGAAAAAAAAAATTTTGTTATTCTCAATTTTTGAGTTATAACTCATTTACATTATAGTATGTTTTTTTATACGTTGTTCACATTTTACGACTTTTTATTTAAAAAATAAATGTTACCCACACACTGTTTGCTATATGGAATGCAAAAACTTTAAAGCTAAAAATCTCAAAATCATTCAGAAAGCAGATAGAACCTTATAATTCTAAGGTGACCGTTTTTCAAGTGACATTTAAAGGCTTAACCAGGTTAATTCTACAACTTAGGGTAATAAATTTTTTTTTTCTGTAGAAAACCAAAAGAAATATTGCTTAAGGGGGCTAATAATTTTGACCATACAATGGTTTTAAAAACATTAAAAACTGTTTTTATTTTAGCTGATATAAAACAATATCTTCTCCAGGAGAAGAAATATAGGAAATACTATATATTTTTTTATATAATACTTTATATATTTATTACATAATACTATATATACTTTTTTACTCTTACTCGTGTAACTTTTAAGATTGTTACTTTTCTTTGATTAAAAATTTCCGCAAGTACTTGTACTTTTACTTGAGTATAGATTTTGGACACTCTACCCACCTCTGGTGTTACTATGGGGACATGTTAATACGCGCCTGTCAATCAATTCAGTGGGCTGTGAAAACCGCACTCCTATGTTACGATGTGGTGGGCCTCAAAATCAATAGGTTTTAGATCCTATTTTAACATCAGGAAATTTTTAAAAGAGACTTGTTGTGTTTCTATCACTCCAATATGATTGTGGACACTTTATACCTACACACAGGTCTGTCCAAACAGCTCACAAAAGTTTTGAATCATGAGTGCCCTTTAACATGCTGCAAACGTACATATTTTATATGGTGGTATGCATTGTTTTCATCGTTACTGTGTTGTCAGTGGAATTAAACAGTTTTTGTGATTCTTGTTTTACAACATGTGCAATTTAGCCATATTTTTGTTTTGCATTTTGCTTTTTTGTTTGATATAGAACTTGGTCTCTTTCTTTGCACTCAAAAAATGACATTTACTGTTTGTTGAATCTACTTCTTTAAAAACAAGCAGAAACAACACAATTCTTGAGTTTTTTGGGGGGACAACTTAATTGTTGTATGTTCAATCTACTTTCATTTTTAAAACTATTAAGTAAACTTAATTACTTCATGTTGTCCTAAAACAAATCGACTGTTTGGAAGTCAGCCTTTTTTACAGTGTGGTCTGCTATATGTTATTTTCTTGTTAATAGCTGTTTCCTTGTGTATACTATTATACTCTGACTCTTTAAACTCTATCAAATCTACTTCTTGCTGGAAGGACTTGTACAATAGCCGGCGTTCACAGCCCTGAAGAATGAACATGTGCACTGAAAAGCGAACAAAGGGACACTGATTCTTCTCAGAATAAAGCTGAGTGTCCCCCTGCGGCACAGGGGAACTAATTGGTAAACTGATATCCTATTGAAAGTCATTCAGCCCTCTCTGGTAATTGCTACACGGCCATCAAGGTTACGATGACTTCCAGAAAAGACCACCCTCAGTCAACCGTGGCATGAGGGTAAGATAGATGATCAAAAAAATGGCACTTTGAGGTGCCTACATAGACAGCGTTTTGACGTGCAGTCTTATTGTTAATAGTGATTAAATACTTTACTTTAAAAAAGAAATTGTAAACTTGTTGGAACTTGGAACTGTTAAGTTGACTTTACTTGATTTTTTATAATTATACACATAGTTCATACACTGCAAAAAATGCAGGCTTCGACACAATTCCATCATGTTGACCTGCCACAAATTGATTGAGTTAACTTAATTACTTAATTAATTACTTTTATTATTATTTGTATTTTAGTATTACTTTTAAATATACTTCTTTGAAAATACTGTTTTGTATTTTTAATACCATTTTTTTTGTTTTATTGTCTAGTTTATTTTATTGTAAAGCACTTTGTGTAAAATTGTGCTCTATAAATAAAGCTTGCCTTGCCTTGCCTTAATTGTTCCTACAAATTTAAGTGGATTAAACTAAAAACAATTAAGTTGTCCCTAAAAAACTTAGGAACTGTGTTGTTTCAATTAATTTTCAATTAGTTTAAACCAGGAGTTTTCAAACTTTTCATTCCATGACCCCCTATGACGGCAAATCAATGCCAATATTAATCGAGCGCAGCGGTGATGTTTGCGTGCGAGGAGAAGTGAACCGTGAGCAGATTACAGGTCTACACGCGAGAAAACTACAGCTCGCGAGCGCATAGGGGATCTTCACTCGCGCGCACAACTGATCCAGCGCGAGAAAACAAGTCCCGCCCGCGCACATCATCATCTGTGCGCACGATGGACGCTCTCGCGAGCGAGGTCATGCCTACAGCGCGCGCGCGCGATCAGTTCTCTCCGCTCGCTCGCTGGTTCTTCTCTCTGCTCGCGCGAAACAGATTTGATTTTTGTCAGTCCTGGGGCGGGACTTGGTGTACTTGTTATCTCTAACGCTATTGGCTACTCTGCCTTTCCGGAAGTTAGCCGGGATTGGACGCAGGTAAGCTAGTTTCCCCGTTAAATAAAAATATATAGGATATCTTATCATATAGGATATCTAAAAGCCTGAATTATATTTTTGAAAATAGCCAAGTGGAATTGCTGCAAATATATTTTAAAAAATCACATGTACAGAGGTATTCACAGCCTTTACTCAATACTTTGTTGATGCACCCTTGGCAGCAATTACAGCCTCAAGTCTTGTTGAATAAGATGCCACAAGCTTGGCACACCTGTCTTTGGGAGCTTTTTGCCCGTTTCTCTCAAGCTCTATCAGGTTGGATGGTAAGCAACGGTGTACGGCCATTTTCAGATCTCTCCACAGATGTTGAATAGGATTTAGGTCTGAGCTTTGGCTTGGCCACACAATGACATTGACCAAGTTGTTGTGAAGCCACTTCATTGATATTTTGGCTTTGTGCTTTGAGTCATTGTCCTGCGAGAAGATGACCCGTCGCCCCAGTCTGAGGTCAAGAGCACTCTGAAGCAGGTTTTCTCTCAGGATGTCTCTGTACATTGCTGCATTCATCTTTCCCTCTATCCTGACTAGTCTTCCAGTTCCTGCTGCTGAAAAACATCCCCACAGCATGATGCTGCCACCACAATGCTTCACTGTAGAGATGGTATTAGCCTGGTAATGAGCCGTGCCTGGTTTTCTTCAAACGTAACGCCTGGCATTCACTCCAAAGAGTTCAATTTTAGTCTTATCAGACCAGAGAAATTTGTTTCTTATGGTCAGAGAGTCCTTCAGATGCTGATTCTGTCTGGCCACTCTACCATACAGACCAGATTGGTGGATTGCTGCAGAGATGGTTGTACTTCTGTAAGATTCTGCTCTTCACAGAAGAATGCTGGAGCTCAGACAGAGTGATCATCAGGTTATTGATCACCTGCCTGAGGCCCTTCTCCCCCGATCACTCAGTTAAATGACCGGCCAGCTCTAGGAAGAGTCCTGGTGGTTCCAAACATCTTCCACTTATGGATGATAGAGGCCACTGTGCTCATTTGAGCTTTCAGAGCAGCAGAAATTTTTCTATAACCTTCCCCAGCCTTGTGCTCACGACAATCCAGTCTCTGAGGTCTACAGACAATTCCTTTGTCTTTATGCTTGCTTTGTGCTTTGACATGCACTGTCAACCCTGGGCCCTTATATAGACAGGTGTACGCCTTTTCAAATCATGTCCAATCAACTGAGTTTACCACAGGTGAACTCCAATTAAGCAGCTGAAACACATCAGTGGAAACAGAATGTACCTGAGCTCAACTTGAAGCTTCATGGCAAAGGCTGTAAATACTTCTGTACATGTGATTTTTCAGCTGTTTTATTTTTAATAAATTTGCAGCATTTTCAATAACTCTTCTTTCACATTGTCATTATTGGGTAATGTGTGTAGAATTTTGAGGAAATTAATGAATTTAATCCATTTTGGAATAAGGCTGTAACATAAAAAAGTGGAAAAAGTGAAGCGCTGTGAATACTTTCCGGATGCACTGTATAGATGTATATATATATTCAAGTCCTGATCAGGAAGTATTGTCTGTTTCCAATCGAGTCTGAAACCGTGTGATCGGGGCCCGATTACCAATCAAGGGATCTGATCTGTTCATCCTTAGTATTTACCACACATTGTGTAATACAAATGTTCTGAATTGTTACGTTTAGCATTGCAAATATTATGTTTACCATAGTTTGTACTAAAATTAAAACTTAAATGGACTTTTCTGTACATTTTATTTGATCTATTCTGAAAGATTTTAAGAATACAAAAATCTCAAACGTATGCTTCAAGTTTTTTTTCATGAAGTGACTTGCCTTATTGGGATTGAACTATTTAAACCAATATTTGTGTATGATGTGTAGTTTTAAGTTTATATGAGTTTATATTAAGCTTGTATGAGTGAGCTTATATGAGTTGATTATCTACAGTTATTAGTAGCTAATAAAAGTTATAGTAACCATAACCTTTCAGATTTTGATTGAACTGCTTTGAAACAATAATCATTGTGAAAAGCGCTATACAAATAAACTGGAATTCAACTGAATATGAGTCTATATTATTAGCTTAGCAGCATTCTATAACCAAACTTCACTTAAAGGGCATAGTTTAGCCCAGGGATGTCCCAACTCGGTCCTGGAGGGCCAGTGTCCTGCAGATTTTAGCTCCAACTTGCCTCAACACACCTGCAAGGATGTTTCTAGAACGCCTAGTAAGAGCTTGATTAGCTAGCCCAGGTGTGTCTGATTGGGGTTGAAACTAAACATTGCAGGACACCGGCCCTCCAGGACCGAATTTGGACATGCCTGGTTTAGCCCTTAAATTCTGTCATGTCATTTGGTTAGACATGAGGGTAAGAAATTACTGACAGAATTTTCCTTTTTTGGTGAAGTATCCCTTTAAATCAACTGTACATCAGCAAAATAATCTATAGTAGAGTTACAAACAGCCCATGCAGATAGTAGACAGACAAAAATCTACTTATTACAGTTGATTTAGGAAACACAGCCTTCATATTATAATGATTTGTCAGTTTCCATTGTACTCACAGTCTCTGTGGTGTACTTTGAGTACTCTGAGACCAGCCACGTTATCCCGCATTACGACCCGGTTGAGTCCTGTGGCTTTATCCACGCGTTCAATCACTTCAAAGTCTCGATCAGTGAAGTACAGGTAGGAGCCGTACACCGCCACACCCCAGGGATGGGACAGTCCGTTTACCATGGTAATCCGGTTTGATCCGTCAGGGTCACCGCGTTCAATCTGAAACAAAAATCAAACATGTGCAGCAGCATTACAGCTATTCTGTAGGCTTAAAAACTTATGCTAGCATGGTATTAAAAGATGCTAACAACACACAAAACATGCTAGCGAGATTACTAATAAACTTTTTATTAACATGCTATGTGTTAATGCCATGTGTTAAAACATGATAGAAAATGTGTTGAATAACTTTTCTTTGGTTTTAGCAACATGCTTACTGTTAACATTGCTTATTTTTGCAACATGCTAGTATATTTTCACTTCCTGTCTAATAATAAACTTTTTTTCTGATTGATTTTTAAAGGCAGCAAAGATGATTCCCTTCAACATCCTAAGGAGACCTGCCAAGCTGTTCATTAAGGGTCATAACATTATGAGTTTGCTTCCATGAATCATGAGGTTTGTTGCATGTGTTTCCCCACAATACTGTCAGGGCCGATGCAGCAAAGCTGTTGGTTTGCAGCAAGCATTTTTGTCGAGAGAGCTGTATGAGAATTGGAGAATGGCGGACTTTGTCTTTTATCAGTTGAGTTTGTTACCATTCAGACACATCTACTATATCTGTGCTGCTGTGTTCACCTATGTTGAAAATCCTCCAGATTACCGGCAGGGCTATTGGTTGGAATAGACAGGGCAAGAGGCATGCTGCACTGCTATCCACTGTGTCTGCATTTAGACCCGGAGATTGAGGAGGAGAGAAGTTCTCCTCATTTATAGTGTTTATATACACACGATTATCTTTATAATGATAGAACAAATTGTGTTTTTGTGTATATGAAATTATGAATGACAAATGTAGCAGGGCATTAAATTACTGTTTATTTCTTTGTATTTTAACTTTGTAAACTATAATTTTATTGGTCTCTTCATAGTTTGTGTCTCATTTTGTGAGCCGACTGACAGCAGTTGTTCGCTCCAATATTTCTCCTCTGTCCTGCCGGCCACATCCACTCCTCCCTCTGCTCTCAGAACTCCACGGTCATCATGAAGCATTATTTGAAAAAATTCTGAGGTAGACTTGAACTGAAAGAGGGGTTTCATGGCCCTTTAAATATGATTATCTCTGTATTCAGATTTTATAAACTCTCAGAATCCTGATTTTTAAATACAGCTGTATTTCGGCCATATATTGCCCTATCCTTACAAAGTAAACATCAATAGAAAGTGCTTTCATTTCAATTCTCAAATTTCAAACAATTGACATTTATAACCAGTTTTGTGGTCACATTTTTTGATTGCATGAGCCAAACATTTGTAAAAGGTCATACCACACCAGTCCCTGTGACGGCCCAGTAAAGTTTGTTCTCTGTGATGTCTATGGTTATAAACTCCACATGTTCTAGATTATGTGTGAAGAGGATGGCCGCGTTGGAGCCGTCCATATCTGCTGATGCCACCTTAGCCGGGATCCCGCTCTCTGTTCCATGATCAGTCCAGTACATCTTTCTAAAACACAAACAGAATATGAGCAAAGAGTAACCACAGCTTATTTGCATTTGCATTAGTACTACATTAGCATGAGCATCCTAATACTTTGTATGTGTTGACTCATGTTTAATGTGCTCAGGCAGTTTAATCCTGGCAGATGACATTGAATTCAGAGATCAGGGTTAAGGGCAGAGATCTGCTGATCTGCTCTTACCCACGTGCCGGATCCACCGCAATGCCAACGGGAGCTCCTGCGCCTGTAGGTGAGCCGTTGTTCGTGATGAGGGTTTTTCTGTACTGAATTTCTCCTTTAAGCCTTAGAACCTGAAACAAATCAGATTTCAGTGTCTATATAGCAGCCAAAACGCTATCATTATTCTCTAAATTAAGTTGTTTAATTAACAAAAACTAGAAATTGAACATAAAATGAAAAACATTGAACATTGCTAGTTTAAATTGAAGATAATAATTTATACATAATAATTATTAATAATAACCTTTAAATAGTCAATAATAACAACAACAACAATTATTATTATTATTAGTAGTAGTAGTAGTAGTAGTAGTAGTGGTGGTAGTAGTAGTATTATTATAGGTTAAATTAAGAACACATTTATTGGACACTACTCATTTAATCTGATGACAATAATTTATACGTAATAATTATTAATAATTAATCTGTAATTAATTAATACTACTACTACTACTAATATAATAATAATATTAAATAAGAACAATAATAGGTGACACATTGGCACAGTCGGTAGTGCTGTCCCCTCACACCAGTAGGCGCTTCTTTGTGGAGTTTGCATGTTCTCCCTGCGTTCGCGTGGGTTTCCACCACAGTCCAAAGACATGTGGTACAGCTGAATTGGGTTGGCTTAATTGTCCTTAGTGTATGAGTGTGAATAAGTGTGTGTGTAAATGTTTCCCAGAGATGGGTTGCGGCTGTAAGTGCATCTGCTGAGTAAAAAAAAACATGCTGAATAAGTAGGCGGTTCATTCCGCTGTGGCGACTACGGACTGATAAAGGGACTAAGTCAAAAAGAAAATAAATGAATGAATAAAAATAATTATTTTAATTGGGCATAAATTATAATAATTTACAGTGCACATTTATTTAACACTGCTCATTTAATTTGAAAATAATATAAGATAATAATATGTAATAATTTTTCATAATTAACCTCTAATTAACCAATAATAATAAAATAATAATAATAATATGTATTATCATTAATATTATTAGAATTATTATTATAATTATAGGTTAAATTAAGTACACATTTATTGATTGCTGCTCATTTCATTTGAAGACAATAATTTATACTCAATAGTTATTAATCTATAATACTCAATATATACTCAATAGTTAATTATCTATCTATCTATCTATCTATCTATCTATCTATCTATCTATCTATCTATCTATCTATCTATCTATCTATCTATCTATCTATCTATCTATCTATCTATCTATCTATCTATCTATCTATCTATCTATCCATCCATCCATCCATCCATCCATCTCCCTACCTCTCTCTTTCTCTCTCTCTCTCTCTCTCTCTCTCTCTCTCTCTCTCTCTCTCTCTCTCTCTCTCTCTCTCTCTATATATATATATATATATATATATATATATATATATATATATATATATATATATATATATATATATTATTCTGTATGTGTGTGTGTAAATAAATAAACACACATACACACATATATTCAAGACAAGCACATTAAATATGGTTGTTACATTTATGTACTAAACATCTAAAGAAAAATAACTTCTTCTGGTCTACATTATTGTTTTTTTTACACTTTCGAAGTAACCATCAACTCTGACAAGCACAGGTCTTGCTGACCTCTATAGCCTGTGATGAAGGGTTGGAGTAGTACAGGTTTTGAGACATCCAATCCAGAGCCAGACCCACTGGAGACCCCAAAATAGCTGCTGGTGCGAACTCAGTTCTGTTGGTACCATCTGACTTCACCCGATGAATCTCCCCCTGTAAAGAGAAATAATACAGCCGTTACTACACAACACATATTGCAATCAGTGACACCGGTGACCATTAAGTGAACTGCAGCCAGAAAATGATTGCTTGTGCTTGCACAACATAAAAATTTAAATACATAAAAATACGTATTTATTTCGTGTATGCATGCTTTACCGGATGTTCCACCCAGTAGATCATCTGCTCAGCATCATCAAAGTCAACATCGTATCCATTCAGCAGCCCAGCGACTGGCACCATGGCATCATTGCTCTTGTCGTTAGGGTTGAGTGGGATGCCATAAATAATGCTGTCTCTCACTACCACCAGGAAAGGATCCTCAACTGCAAAAACCATCATACAGTTGGTGTCAGAAGTATTAGCCCTCGTGAATTATTGGTCCCCTTGTATCATTTTTTTCCCCAATTTACCAATTTATTTGTTTGCGCACCCAAAACTGTAGTGCATGTGGATGAAAAGTATCTGTTGTAAATATGACTCAAATTATGAGTAAAAAGTAGCCCTTTTAAAAGAACTCAAGAGTAGTGGGTATTAAGGCCTGAGCACACCGAGACGTTTTTTGCTCACGTTTTCCCTCGATGTTTAATACCTTGTGACTAAATAAATGGTGTCAATGTGATCGTGCACATCAATGTGCAAAACGCCAGGCGCAAAAACGTCATAAAAAACGCCTCATGCTCGTTTTTTTTGTTTTGACACGCCGCGTCAAAACCTTCTCCACCAATCAGATCAGCACTTTTGTTCACGTGCACGGAGCTGCTGAAGTTACAGTAAACAGCACTTGGAGGCGCTCAAGCACAAAACTGTCAATGGGAGCGCACACTGAAGAAGATGCCCAGAGGCGATATGAACGTTTAGCTGCTTATCGTCTTCTGAACAATAATCGTTTCTTCATCGCTAGAGCTGAAGCTGCAGCTTGAACCATCTATGCTTGTTTAAATCACCAGTAACTTTAACAACAAGCTTGTGAACTTCCCCTCCCACTCTTCTTCTGTGTTATAAGCGGGTGTCAGAAGCTTAAAGTTGTTTAGCGCCATCCAACGTCAAGGAGTGATTTTGCATACTCTTCTGCTTGACGCTAGTGAAAATCACTTGTGTTTGAATCTGGAAAAACATCTTGTAAAACGCTGACGATAAACACAATTGAAAAGCGTCCCGGTGTGTAGGAGCCTTTACGCTGTAAAAGGTTATTTGTGCAGGGATGTGAAAACGTAACATTCTGTAGTGCATTTAGTTATTGTTTGGCGATTTCAGTCATCATACAGTAAACATCCACCATCTTCTCATCTGTAAAATGCAATCTGAACAGTCTCTAGGTTATTGTGTGTAACGATTTTGGACATTTTCTTGGACACGTTTAATTTATAAAATTCCATAATTCAGGGGCGTCGCTAGACCCCATTTACTGGGGCACGTGCCCCAGTAAAAATCGCCAGTGCCCCAGTAAATGCTTTGAGATGCGATTTACTTTATATGCAAGTTTATTTATTAAGAGTGGTAGTCCCAGAACAAAGACGTGCAACCGAACCAATGGAGGTGAAAGCAATGTAGTTTAATCAAAAGGCAAACTGAGCATGTGCGCAGAAAACAAACATACCCGTGCGCCTCACACACCACTCCTGCTTGACGCTGACGCGCTGCTCTGCTCCCGGTCCGGTTGCGAACATGCATGCCGAAAAAATAGCCGCACCGCTCATGTGTTGTGAAACTGATGTAACAGTTATTTATGCGGAGGTGTCGGCACGCAGTGAGTTTTGCAAGTCGACAAAACAAAGTTTAAATAATATGATAATGATCTTATTTATACTGCACGGATGCTGATAGATTTTTATTTATTTTTTGCTATAAGACATTTAAGGTATAACACACAACAGATAATTCTATAAAATATATATATTTTGTATTCTATTAAATTGTTTACAGAATTTCATTCTAATGAAATTAATATTCATGCAAAAGATTCTTAAATTATCTTACCGTCACTCCAGTGGTGTCTTTAGATTGTTTTCCAGTTACATTTAGGATCCATTTCTGTTATTTATTTCGAATAATAATTCTATTTATATATATATTTTTATATATATATATATATATATATATATATATATATATATATATATATATATACAGTTGAAGTCAGAATTATTATCCTCCATTGATTTTCTTTTTTATTTTTAAATATTTACAAAATGATGTTTAACAGAGCAAAAAAAAAATTCACAGTATGTATGATTATAATTTTTCTTATTTTTTCTTATTTGTTTTATTTTGGCTAGAATAAAAGCAGTTTTACATTTTTTAAACACCATTTTAAGGACAAAATTATTAGCCCCTTTAAGCTATATTTTTTTTACAACAGTCTACAGAACAAACCATCATTATACAATAACTTGCCTAATTACCCGAACCTGCCTAGTTAACCTAATTAACCTAGTTAAGCCTTTAAATGTCACATTCAGCTGTATATAACTGTCTTGAAAAATATCTAGTCAAATATTATTTACTGTCATCATAGCAAAGATAAAATAAATCAGTTATTAGAAATGAGTAATTAAAACTATTATGTTTAGAAATGTGTTGCATAGTGTAGCTTTAAATGACAATAAACAATGTTTCTTTTAAAGCTAAAATTAAATAAATGCAAGTAAATTATTTATTATATTTATGCTAATATTTTATCCATTTCAAGAGCGAAAAATGGTTTTAGTTTTATGGTTTTCGTTAACTACAGTTGAAGTCAGAATTATTAGCCCTCCTATTTATTATTTCCTCCAATTTCTGTTTAACGGAGAGAAGTTTTTAAACACATTTCTAATCATAATAGTTTTAATAACTCATCTCTAATAACTGATTTATTTATCTTTGCCTTGATGACAGTAAATAATATTTGAGTAGATATTTTTTAAGACTTCTATACAGCTTAAAGTGATATTTAACTAGGGTAATTGGGTTAACTAGGCAGGTTAGGGTGTAGGCAAGTTATTGTATAACAATGGTTTGCTCTGCAGGCTATTGAAAATATATGGCTTAAAGGGGGTTAATAATTTTGACCTTAAAATGGTGCTTAAAATTTAAAAACTGCTTTTATTCTAGCCGAAATCAAACAAATAAGACTTTCTCTAGAAGAAAAAATATTATCAGACATACTGTGAAAATTTCCTTGATCTGTTAAACATCATTTGGGAAATATTTAAAAAAGAAAATAATAATTTAATAATTAATAATTCTGACTTTAACCGTATAGCTTAACTGATGTGTACCTCTATTTAAATTATATATTAGTTTAATAGTAATGTGATGATATCTGCATGTACAGTTCACTGCACATATACATTAAATGCAATTAAGCACAAAAAAATAGCACAAATTCCCAGACCACAGGTATCATCTCGTTGCCTTCAGCCCTGCAGAAATGAGGTACTGGTGAAAAAGGCCTGGTCCAGTAAACCATGCAGTGTCAGCACAGTTGATTGCGATAAACAGGCCATTCAATCAGCGTTTGTCTGGATTAATTGTTAAACTCTCATGGAAGAATGCGCTTGACAGTGCTAACAAAGGCTGAAACCTGAGCGAGCTTAAGGGTTTGCCCTAAGAGAATGTTAAGGGCTCCTTAAGACTAAAGGCCTCTTGCGTGCTTTCATCCGTTACTGTCAGCTGAGCTAAGGCCTTTTATAATAGTAAATGTTTGTCTCGGCAAAGAAGCTTACTTAGTAAATCGAAAATGGGTTTCTGTTGACAAGTTTTCATTCCCCTGAAATCTATATCCAATTTTAACAGAAGACTGCTTCATTCACTGTGAAGCAGATTAAATGGACAGAGGCCAGCGTTAAAGACATACTCGCATGCATTATTCATTAAAACAGCCAAAAGATGGAACAACTGTTCAAGCCATTACACTAATTTTTAATCTTGTTCATAGCATGTTTATGAAAGTCTTCATGGACCGCTGTGTTTATAAGGTCAGAGGTCATCATCTGTAGGTCAAACTGGAAACAACCCCCAGCAAAAGCAACATGATTTACACCCCTGGCTCATTGGAGAAACAGGATTAAGCCTACAGTTTTGTAAAATCCTAAAAACCTACTGAAACATATGGTCAGGTAAACACTAGGGGGCAGTATGACGTCAACAACTGTTGTTCCTTTTCACACTAATGATATTTACTGGAACATATTATTGATTAATAAAGGATTATTTTTGCAGCACAACACCAAATAAACACCACACAACAACTTAATGGTATCTATTATTTGTAAATGAATAGGTTTGATTACTATAATTCTCCATGTGGTCAAATTTACTGACATTTTAAAAATGTATCACTCAGGTTTGAGTCCGGTGAAGCAATGTAAAATCAAGGTAAAGCTATATTGTTGCAGTGCACTTTCTCTTTTGTTTGGTTTTGAAAACACTATTGGTTGGGTTTAGGTCAGTGGTTTGCAATTCTAGGTGATCTGTACGATAAGCCCCACCTTATAAACGAGTAGTAGAAAAACATGTATCTGTATTGTGCAACAAAACGTACCCTAAGGCTTAATTTCAATTTTATTTGTTTTCCTCTACTCCTTCCCCTTGGCCCCTGAAACAGCGTGTGAAGGGGAAAGGCTTCAAAATCTACCCCTAAGAAATGAGACTACAACATCTGCACACGTCATCATATGTCATCGCGATCTCTTGCTTCATATGAAATTAACAATTGCGGTATATATATATACTAGTTATTCCAGTTTTTATTTCAGTTATTCCAGTTACCCTTTTTTTTTTATGAATTAATCATCAGGAAATCACAGAAGGGAACGATATCATGTTATCATAAAATATGGCAATAAGATTGTAAATGTGCTGTGCATTTACACCGTGGTCATATTCATCTATGTAAACACATGAAAACAACATTAACGTTATACCAGACACTGTAAAAAGGTCATTCTCAGCCACTAGACTTTTCTGACAGGGTATTCGAGTATCATCCAGAGACAGATTTGAAAGTATGTTGTGTGTGGGGCTACTATACAGGTGTATTATTATAGATCATAGATGGCCAAACTTATCGTGTTTTTTAAATAACTTTAAGCATGACAGTAAAACACAAATGGCATTATAAATGGCATAAATAATTTAAACATATGCTTGTTTATTGTAAATGTTAGGCGTAGGGGTAAGGGGGACTGGCTAAGGGGTGGAATTGGGCCTAAATAACGTTTCAGATTTATACAAATTTAGACAGCGCCCTCTAGTGGATTAGTCAGCTGAAACATGCAGTGAAATGTATCTGGAGCAACATATTTTACATTTTGCAAAAATAGGCCTCGTCACATATTTC